GAACAAATAGGGATTTAGATTGAGAGAGCTTATACAAAGGAGTTTACGCGAGCTAGTCGTTCGGGAAAATAGATACTACATCTGATATTCACTTCGTGATTTGAACGTAGAATCGTAGATCTACGCGTAATTATATACACTAATGTGTATGTGTGCTTAATTAGTGAATAGTTAAATAATCAATCTACGATTCGAATCCACACAGGGTAAATAATCAGGTATAGCATTTAACTCTTTAGTTAGCTTAACAAACAACTATGTATAGTATTCTTTTGAATTGTGGTAAACTATAACTTAGATAGATAAAGCTTAGCTATAGATAGTAAAATGAATAATTTAATTCATTTTAGTTTTTCAATTGTAAAGTTTATTAATTTAATTTTTTTTTTTCTTTGTTCTTAAGATGAAATTTAATTTGAGAAACTAGTCTGTGTGGAGGATGTTGTGGGCTGATTTTTGTTCGGGCCCAGCCTATGGTTCAGGGCCCAAAGTCAAAACTAAAATTGAGACTCCTGTGTACTAATTTATGGGAAATTCCCGTTTTCACCCATCAAGTTTGTACTTATTTCACATTTGGTCCATTATGTTTCAACAATTGAACACCTTTAGCCATTTTCGTCAATTTATCGTTACATCATAAGGCAGTAATGGGCAAACGCAAGTTCTTACGGAAAATTGATGAAAATGGCTAAAAATGTTGAATTTTTTTAAATATGAGAGACCAAATGTATTTTTTATGAACATGGGGACCAAATGTGGAGTCAGTGCAAACTTGAGGGATCAAAACTGTATTTTTTCCCAACCTTGAGGTATGATCAAATTACGAAAATCCCCATCATGTTTAGGTAATTGCAACCACCCCTCAACTATGAATTTTCTTATACGTCCACCCTTGTGGTGTCAAATTTAGTGGAATCTTCTAAATTATACGGAATATTCTCAAGTTTGTACTAGTTTTATCCCATTCGACCTCCACATTTTGAAGCAAGATGATCATAAGATGTGTTTTTTAGTTTGTATATATATCAGATTGTGGTGCATCAGAAATTGCATTTTAACACAAAACGAGTACATACAGTAGAACATTCCACGAAATTTACAAGATTATGTTGAATTCGACACCATAAGGGTGGGCACGTAAGAAGATTTGCAGTTGAAGAGTAGTTATAAATTATAATTACTCATACATAAGGGGTTTTTTCGTAATTTAACCTAACCTCGGGGGTTGGTTGTAAAATACCCAAAAAATACAAAATCTAAGGGTCGTTACATCGGTTACAGAACTGAAAGAACCTGATCAAACCCTCTCCGCCGGCCAACCCACAGCCACACACACACACACACACACACACTATCCATGGCTTCTTCCGCCGTGCTCCTCCTCCAACCACCCAATCTCTCCAACTCCCTTTCTCTCTCCTCTCGAACTCCCCCACCTCTCTTCTCTCTCTTCAAAACCAACACTACCTTCTCCTCCTCCGCCGCAGCTTCAAAATCCCTCAGCCGCAGACCGCCGCTGGTAGTTACAGTCTCCGCAGCGCTCCAAGCTCTCATATTCGACTGCGACGGCGTAATTCTGGAGTCGGAGCATCTCCACCGCCAAGCTTACAACGACGCCTTCGAGCATTTCAATGTTCGCTGCCCATCTTCTTCTTCATCCCACCCCCTCAATTGGACCCCCGAATTTTACGATGTTTTTCAGAATCTCGTCGGCGGCGGAAAACCTAAAATGAGATGGTCCTTCTTTTCACCCCCAATTTGATATCCCCAATTTTTATTTATTAATTATATTTAATTTTTGGTTTTGTTTTTTTTTTTTTGGATTGAAGGTATTTTAAGGAAAACGGTTGGCCAACTTCGACGGTTTTCGATTATTCTCCGGAAACTGACGAAGAGAGAGAGAAATTGATTGACATTCTTCAGGTGTCAATTCTTTTCGAGTTTAATTTGTTCTGTTTTTTGTTTTGTCTAATTGGCATTCAATTGATTATAAGAATATAGTACATTTTAGTCCTCGTTTATAGGCTTGATAAATTAGTAATCTCGCGTAAATAATAACTTTTTCTGGTCTCGACTCGGTGTAAACATACTAAAATTAGTAGTTTAATATTTCGCTGAATTAATCGGATTTTGCTAGACCCGACTGTATTACTTTATAGAGGTTTAACTGTATTACTAACTAAATCGGAAATAATAGCATAAAGATAGCAAATCACGGTTTTTTTTTACTTTATTTTTAAAGTCCATTGTTTCACTTTATGTTAGTTTTATAGATGAGCTTCTATCGAATTTATTTAAGTTTTTCACTATATAGCGTAAAAGAAAATACGAATTTGATTCTCAATGCCGGATTGGAAGACCGAGAGA